GTCCTACTTGTGTCTACCAGATCCTCACCCCTGCAAGTCTACGCTCACAGCCACAGCTGTTCTCAGCAGCTCAGTTTTTCCCAAAGCTGCAGGCTGGAACAAGTTTTATCTTCTCTCCCAACCATAGCCCTAACTCGGGGGAGGGAGGTTCCTGCTACAGTTTTCCCAGGCTACAGGGCATGGGGAAGACTTCTGGCTCTCAGAGAAATCCTTCTTAATCTGTCCCCTTTCCCCTACATCCTTTTGTTTCAAAGCTTCATTATATAATTAATATGTAGGCTTTTTGCCAGCAATCATCTAAAAACAAATTGTGCTGTTTTATGTGCCTAGATGAAGTTAAAGCAATGAGGAAACTATCTTATAAACATGAAACAGAGTCCAGATTTGGGCTAGAAGTGATTCATCTGAGTCTTCCTTTAGCCACTCCTAACTGTGGGCTCTTGGGCGAGTTATTTCTAAAACACTTCCTCAACTATAAAATAAGACGGTAATAACTCTTCAGCTTAGGTTTATTGTAATGACCAAGAGGTGACACATGTGAGTGACCTTTGTAAAGGCCAGGCAAGTATCATGGAGGAATATGGAAATACCCCTCTAGGGATGGGTGCTCTCATTTAACATTTTCATGAATGATTCAGAAGAGGGGAGAGAGAAGCAAATGTTCTGGTTTTCAGAAAATCTTGAAAGATGCCAGGTGATCCATTTTGAAAATGTATTGCTTTCTGCTTTTCATTTTTTAAATTTTTATTCACTTGAAAGGCAGAAAGAGGCAGAGAGAAAGAGAGAGATATCTTCCATCCTTGGGCTCATTCCTAAGTGCCTGCAATGGTCAGGGCTGTGCCAGGCCAAAGCCAAGAGCCAGAAACTCAATCCAGGTCTCCCATATGGGTGGCAGGAATCTAATCACTGGAGCCATCACCTGCTGCCTCCCATGATATGCATTATCAGGAAGCTAGACTGGAAGCAGAAGTGCTGGGGCTCAAACCAGACCCTCTGATGTGGGTTGGGGGCATCCCCAAGTGGTGACTCACCCACTGTGCCAAATACCTGTCTCTCTCCCTCCGCTTTTTGACATTCCAGGATTCTTTGAGAATGCAGCATAGGCTGTATGGTCTTACTTACAGACTCAAGTGTCAAAATGTTAATTCCCCGTGTGGCTTGGGAGACCCAGATCTTTAGTTGAATAGTTGCTTGTAATGCTTTTGCTGAGAACCATGGGTTCTTTTCTGCCTGGGTCAGGCCAAATCTGTGCGTGGGAAGTGCCTGGAGAGCCTGTCCCTGGATGTCTACAAAAATGGCTCTCTGTCCCTTTTCATCAAATTGCTACCCAAATGTCCTCTTACTCACTGGCCTTTATAGATCGTTCTTGCTAAAACAGCACTAACTCTCCCACCCCTTAAATTCTCCCTGTACCGCCTGCACCCCTCAGCTTGCCTTATTCATTTAAATAGCATTTATTCCTCTCGGACACATCGCATGTATTTTTTCTTTATTCACCGTCTTCCCCTACATGATATTTAATTTTATGTGCTAACTTGACTGAGCCATGGTGTCCAGATATTTGCTCAGATGTTATTCTAGATATTTATAGGATGTTTATAGGCTTTTGGATGAAATCAGCAGTTAAATCGGTAGACTTTGACTGTAGCCATAACCCCCCATAATTTGGCAGATCTCATCCAGTTAGTGAAGGCTGTAGGAGAAAAAAGACTGATCTTGCCTCCCTAAGCAAGAAAGAATTCTGTGTTGAATTTAAAAATTATAATTCTTCCCTGGGTTTACCCTATCAGATTTGGACTCACAAAGCCAACACAATTGCATGAGCCAATTCCTTAAAATAAATTTCTGTGCATACACACAGACACACAGACACACACACACACACACACAGACACACACACACTATTGGTCTTATCTCCCTGAAGAGCCCTGATGAGTACATCCACTTGCATGTAAACTCCACGGGTGGCTTTATGTGTTCATTACTCTGCTCCCAGGCATCTGTCAGAGTCCCCATGCCTAACACTTAGTAGGTACCTAGTAAAGTATGTAATTAGTTGATGAGTTGATTAACTAACGTTATTCCTAGTACACTATATAATCTTAATATGATGGATATTTAAAATAATTTTTGTTCTTCAGTTTTTTCCTGTTGATTAACATTTGCCTGAACTTACCCATATTTCAAACCTTTGATTTAACCCATTTCAGGCCTGTCACTTTTTCTGGGGAAAAAAAGTTTGGGGGACATTATGAGCATTTAGTTTTTTGCTGATTTCCTGCCCAGTTACAGTTAAAAATCCCCCAGTTTATGCTTAGAAAGCTTGGGTTAAGTCTTTGCATTCTGAAAATTTGAGTAAATGTAAAAAATGTATATGTATAGAGTGCTGCTTCCATCACATTGTGAAACAGCCACAACTTGCTTTTCAGACCTATCTTTCCTTTTTATTCCTGACATCATTCTCTGATGCTGAACTAAGTAAGAAATGTTTCCAGAAATCCAACTCTATGAAGCAGGTGGGATTAAATATGAGACGAGATTGATGTTGGCATATCTGGTGATATTTGTTGTCTTCACTCCTCTCTCTACTCCAGGTTTCACATTTCTCAAATGTGAATGTATTCTAAATAGTGAATTTTGACTTTCAATCCAAAACTTCGAAGTGAAAATAAAATGAAGTAGACTGTACTTTTCTTTCAGACAGCTCCAGAAGGTTGAGCATCTGCACATTTTTCCAGAGTCAGCACTGATTATACAAGCCATAAGCAGAAAAAGTGCTGTTTCCCTGAATGCCTGACCAAGAATCAAATCATGGACCTGTTCATGATGATACTGTCTCCTGAATACTGAGTGAAATTAGCATACCAAGGAGAACAGGGCACGATACCTAAAAGGGGGACACACTCTCTCACACACACACACAGACAGATAGACATATTTGGGTATCAATCTTCAGTGTATTTGACTTGTTAATTTGAGCTTACCCAATCCCCACAAATCCTGTCCCTTTGAATTTAGATCTATGTTACTTTCTTGAGTTTCTAGTGAGAAACCAGAATTGAAAGAGAAGGAAAGCAAAAAAAGCTCACCATTGACTATTTCACGGAGCAGAAGGTGACTAGCAACTGAAAGGAATTGCCCCTATTCCATTTGGTTGTTTAGTTTCAGTTCTGATTACCTATCGTCTCTGAATGTAGGACAAAGAATACTGTACTAGGAGTTAGGAGGCTTAGACAAGTCTTAGCTCTTGATATTTTTCATGTGATTTCCTTCTTGGAAGTCTGCAGGTTAGAAATGTAACTTAAATAGCAAATATCCCAGGAGGAAGAGTGGGCAACCATGTCTCCTTCATCCTTCTTTCTTCAGTCAAAGCTTCATGGTCTACAGTGACATTAAAGGAATACAGGCTTGGATAATGAATGTGGAAAGGTAGGCAGGAAATGGGGACTTCTGGTAGGAATTCATATGTGTAGAACATTTAGTTCTCCTAACTGAGAAGATGTCAGTATTACTGCTGCACCATTCAGTAGGAAAAATACAAGATGTGTCATGAAAAAGATGAACAGTGACCTTGAGAAGTAAAACTCAGAATTAATAGCGTAAATACATTTGGTGATTGGCAGTAGAATTTACATATTCTACATAAAATGAGAGATCCTTTTGAATTCATACTTAAACAAAAAAATTTTCAGTAAATCCAAGAAAGGACTCAACCTGGAATTACTTCCAAATGCTTTCATAAATTATTTTTGTTGTTGTTGTTCATTTTTCTAAGCAACTCCATGCTATAGCTGGCTAAGATAAATCTGGCACAATGTCCCTGATAGTTAAGGTTTTTGTCTCCAGAAGAAAGGAATCGAAGATAGATTAAAGATTGGTTCTTTGTTCAGTTTCCATGAATAAGGGTGAATAAAACCCTATTGTATTTAGTGGGATATTTATTGGCTGTTGCATAGCTAGGATTTATGTGTACAAATAAAGGGAAGAAAGAGGAATGATATAAAGTCAGTGTAAATTGTAATATAAATTATCATATTTTATTCTCATAGTGATACTTTAAGACAGAAAATAATATTCTCACAGATGAGGACACTGAGGTTCTGAGAGGTGACATGACTTATCTAAAGTCTCAATGCTGGTAGCAGATAGGATTCAAACCACAGTTGTTTTGATATTTCTTTTTTCCTATTTCACTATGCTGTCCCTTAATAATCCTAATACCACTCATAAGAATCCACTTATTAGGTGCCAGATCCTATACTAAGAACTTTAGGTGCATCATTCCATTTAATTATCAGAACAAGCCTATGAGGAAGAGATTATTTCCAATTTAAAGATAAAGAAACATAGATTAGGGCTGGCACTGTGGTACAGTGGGTTACGCTGCCACCTGTGACCCTGGCATCCCATGTAGTGCTCGATCAAGTTCCAGCTGCTCTACTTCTGATCCAGTCTCCAACTAATGCACCTGGGAAAGCGGCAGAGAATGTCTCAATTACTTGAACCCCTGAACCCACATGGGAGATCCAGATGGAGTTCCTGACTCCTGGCTTTTGTCTGGCCCAGCCCCAGTTGTTGTAGTCATTTGGGGGAGTGAACCAGCGGATGAAAGATCTCTTTGTTCTGTCTCTCCCTCTTTGTAACTTTCCCTTTCAAATCAATCAATCAATCAATCATTTTTTTTTTTTTTTAAGAAAGAGATTACAGAATTTAAGTGACTTAACCCACATATACAGGACAGCAAGTGGGAGCCAGTGTTCACTTTTGAGCAGAACCCTGGCTCCTGCCATCCATGATGCTGTTTCCAGTGTGGCTTAGGGAACCTGTGGTTTGAACTGGCATGCAAATGGTCTGCTCTTTTCCTGGAGATAAGTGAGCAGGGGAGTGGAGTTCCCACACTGACTGTGTACAGCAGGTACATTTTGGGTAGACTATACCTGTCTACTAAGTTGCTTAGTTCAGAAATCACTAAAATTCTTTTTATGCTTTTCTTTTGCAGATACTTACCTGTATTGCTGGCTCACTGTCCACAAGTATTAATGATTGTAAAATCAAGAATGAGACTCAGTACTCCACTGGATATCTTTCAGGCAATTTCTGCTGTCAGCTATGTCCTCCCGGTATGTTACACAAACATCTAAAGATGAAGATCAAAATCAGAGTGAGAAAGAGCATATAATCATAATGAATATGATATTTTGTCACATTTTAAATTTTTTAAAGACTGATTGATTGTTCTGAAAGGCAGGGTTACAAAGAGAGAGGGAGAGACAGAGATCTTCCATCCACTGGTTCACTGCTCAAATAGCAGCAACCTGGCTGGGCCAGGCCGAAGCCAAGAACCAAGAGCATCATCCAGGCACTCACGTCGGTGGCAGGAACCCAAGTCATTGGGTTATTTTTTGCTGCTCTCCCAAGCACATTAACACGGAGCTAGGTCAGATGTGGAGTAGACGGCATTTGAACTGGTGCTCATATGGGATGCCAGTGTCACAGGCAGCTGCTTAACCTGCTGCACCACGATGCTGGCCCCTATTTTGTCACTTTTGATTCTCCTTAATAATTAATTCTCCATTAATACAAGAAAATCATCTATGCCATTATTTTCACAAAACTGGTTTTATTCATTTTTATTACATTTGCGTGATGCGACTACAAATAAATGTAATTTATAATTGAAATGCACCTCTGAAATCAGAAGATTCATTTATTACCTCCATTTTTCATTAGCAAAAGAAAACTCTCTGTGGGTATTAAAGCTTATCATCTCAAAACTGGTTAGGGTATATCATAATGATGGTGGAGTTTTGAAAGCATGGGACTTCTACCCGTAAAGGATATGTCTCAGCACTTCCCTTCAATCAGAAGGTTTCTAAAAAGGCTGTTTGTCCTGGCACTGAAGCCTGCAAAATATATTTGCATTTTTGCAGCTGAATAACTGGATGAACTAGAAAAGCAACGGACAGAAACCAAAAACTTTTAAAAAATGAATATTTTGAAATGCAAACTGATTTCATATCGGAAATCCTTGAAACAACTAGCAAATTAGAAGCTAAGCAAAATGCGATTGTGCTAATTTCTTTCAGTTTGAAGTAGAGTTGACTACATTGCATACAGATATGAATCTCTCTGCTGCATGGTGAAGCCAAGAAGATCAAGGAAAACAACACAAGGGTTTATGAAACAGATCAATAGAACCAAAAAGGATTGTTGTAGGTTTCATGGTTGGCCTTCCAGGTTTCCAGCATTCAAACTGAAAAACAGGTGTGGATCATGCTTGTAAATAGATTTCACATGTCTCTTGACCTTCTGAATGGATTTTAATAACCCTCAAGGAAATATCTCTCTGATAATCAAATCCATTTATACTTAAGCCCATTTCACCTACTTCTTTCCAACCAGGAATAGGAAATGGCTTCTTGTCTTTTTTTTTTTTTATAACTTACTAAGCACAATCAATTTATCTCATGAATTGACATTTTTAACAGGGTTTTAAAACCTGAAATGCAAGTTAAAACAAAGACAATATGCTTTGCATATGAAACACTAAAGGATTTTTTGTTTGCTTGCTTCTTTGGTTTTTCCTTTGCTTCCATTTAAGAAGTTTTCAAACTTCTTTGCTTATGAGATGTGATCTCTCATATGCCATTATTGGAATGTAAGATAAATTCGAATACACGGGTCAAAAATTGGAAAATGTTTACACCTACTAACACAGTAATTGATTTGTAAGAAATTGCCTTAAGAAAATAATCAAAAACAAAGCTATTGTATGCATGATATTTTATTGCACTACTCAATTACTTAAGATTTTCTAAGTACATTTTTGGAGTATTCAAAGGCTAGAATATTATGTATCAATAGAAGTCATGTTTTCTGATATATTTCTAATATAATCTTCAATTATCTAAATCTCTTTTAGTGATTTCTAAGTGATTTGCTGGCTGGCTGGCTGAACTGATCCTCTCTGCTGAATGAATGAGGGGCAACAATGCAGGCTAACTCCTCTTGCTTTCATTCCTCCTTGTTGAACTTCACACTGATCAATGTTCAACTGCTGCCAAGTCTGTTGCTACTCATTGGTGTGATATTAATACTGAAGTATTAAAACAGAAAAAGCAGATTTGACTTCTAGGGAAACTAGACTGAATGCTGTGGAGGAATTACAGTAAAGGAGAGCTGCTCAACAAATTGAGGATGAACTAGGTGAGGGCAAAATAAAAATAAAATATTAAGGGAGAAAATCACAAAAAGCTATAAAGCTTGTAATAGACTATTGGTGTGTTTAACTTTCATTTTTTATCAAAAAGGAAGGGAGGAAGAAAGGGAGGGAGGAGGGCAAGAGAGAGGGAGTGTGAGAGAGAAAAAGAGAAAAACAGCCAAATAGGAAATCATAAGTACTGTGTTACAGGTATAACTTCAGTGAGCAAGAGCCTGGAATTCTAATAACTTGGCTTTACATCACAAGACTGGCTAATGATTATACAGTTATACTTTATGATGTAAAATAAGATATTTACAGCATTTCTTCAGTAATTCCCTCTGAGAAAGGATAACTTTCGGCCATCGCCACGGCTCACTAGGCTAATCCTCCGCCTGCAGTGCCGGCACACTGGGTTCTTGTCCCGGTCAGGGCGCTGGATTCTGTCCCAGTTGCCCCTCTTCCAGGCCAGCTCTCTGCTGTGGCCTGGGAGTGCAGTGGAGGATGGCCCAAGTACTTGGGCCCTGCACCCCATGGGAGACCAGGAAAAGCACCTGGCTCCTGCCATCGGATCAGCGCGGTGCGCCGGCCGCGGTGGCCATTGGAGGGTGAACTAATGGCAAAGGAAGACCTTTCTCTCTGTCTCTCTCTCTCTCACTGTCCACTCTGCCTGTCAAAAAACAAAATTGTATATGTGCGGGTGTAAAAAGTTAAGCTTAAGCTTACAGGTTTAAACCTTCCTGGTGCAGCTGTGAAAATAAGACAGAGTGAAGTAGCACCTTGACAGTAGGGACTCCATTTTGGAGCACTTGAGACTCCATTCTGGGAAAGCACCCCCCCCACCGTGAGACTGGTCTGAAACTATGATCTCAAATGGTCGGACAATAGCAGTGCACTACATCACCCTTGGCAGAGCACAAAAACCCCCTAGCATGATTGCTCAAGCTTAAAAGTAGAAAGGTTGCACCTGGGTTACCTGGGCTAATAATGAAGATGTGATTTGTCTATGCCTTAAGATCATAATTGCTGATTGTAAGATTTTAGCAACTGCTTAGCAACCGTGTATTCTCTCCCCTCTCCCGATTTTGCAGTTTTTGCCTTTATAAACCCTATACTTTAGTTCCTCGAGGCTCCTCTGTTCTTGTATGTTCAGAGAGCCCCAACATGTTGGATCAATAAATCTTTAACCCTTTGCTGGTTGCATGAGAGAAAGTCTCTTGGAGTCGTTCCTTGGGCGGTGGGCGTTTTCGGACCCTAACAAACCAACGGAAAAGGAAGACCTTTCTGTCTGTCTCTCTTTCTCTCACTGTCCTGCCTGTCAAAAAATTAAAAATTAAAAAAAGGATAATTTTTATTAACTGATCAAAATGTCCTTATCATATCTCCATACTTAATAAGAATTCTACAGTACACAGCATACATACACACACATATCTTTTACATATACATATACTCATACATATATAAAGTAATGCCATAAAATAACAGGCACTATCTCAAAAATAATTGATATGTAGGTATTTTTTATCTTTCCTTTTCTAAGTTTTCTATAATAAGCATAGGCACAACTGTACTCAAAATATGTATTTTAAAGCCTCATTTTAAAGAAAACCGCCTTTTTTGCATTTTTATAAATTTAGGTTGTATATGCTGGAGAACAGAGAGAATATGTGATCGGTGGTATCCCTATCATACTGTAGGTGTTATGCTAGGCATATTAAGCAAAGGTAGTTCATTAAGGAGGTTAATTCATTTAGAAACTGGTATAATATCACTAGCAAGAAATGAATCTGTACTTTGGCTCTGTTTTCTTTAAAATAGTACCACAATGTTATGTAACGCTCAAGCATTATATTTGAATTTTGTTCTGGGTTTCCATGGGTTGCTAATTTTTTTTCTATTAACAGACTATTGTCTTTGTTTACTAGAATATCATACATGTTTACCTTTAATTATTTGCTTATGTAGAAAACCTTTATCAAAAAGAGAAGTGTGTGCTTATTAAGAAATTTGTGTACCTATGAAACAGTGTAAGTCACTTTTGCTGTATATGCAAGTAGAGTGGATTAGACTTTGCCTATTTTTACAATTAATTATATCATTAGTAATGAGCCATAATTAATGCTTTTTTTATACTTTCCTTTGCATTTTCAGTCTCTTTCTTCTTCATTCTTTCTCTCCTCACCCTAATTTTTTTGCCATACAGCACAACTGTCACCACTTTGACATCATATGTTTATTTGGGCATTGTCTGCCTCTACCCTGGTAAGGTAAAAGCCTTAGATACTAAGACTCTGTTTTATTTCCTTCGATATCTCCAGCTCCTAGAAAGCGTCTAGCACACAAAAGGCATTTAGTAAAATAAATAAATGAATTTTCCAGAAGAAGGCATTATTGAATAATGCTTAGTAAAACAATATAGTGAATAATTTTATTTTGAGGTAAATTAAAACAAATGTGAATATTATTTAAAGCTCTTTGTATTAAGGTAACACACCTGATAATATTTTGTTATAGATATGTTTGTGCCTGTCATCAAAAAATATTTTGTCCCTTAATGGAGAAGGGATAGAAAAGAAGGGGACAGAACAGGAAACTGTGAACACTTGTGCATGTTTGAGAACAATGCAAGAGAAGTATTATTATCTTCATGATTTGCATAATGAAATTTAGGCTTTTAACAACTAAGTAGTTTGTTAAAGATTTTTATAGCTACTGAAGATTTGACTGAGGTCTTGGAACTTCAGATGTCTTTTTCCTTAAACTGTGCTCTCTGTTACTGTTACTGCTGAGGGACCCCTGGGAACTTGTTCCACTCATAAAAAAAAGTATAAGGCACACGAGCAAACCAAGAAGGCAGTATTTAGCAAAATAGTTTTATTTTAAAGAGCAAAGGGGTTAAAAGAGCAGAGGGAAAGCTCCCAGGAAAGCAGCAGGGAGGGGCTTTTTCAGGAGGAAAAAGCTGTTAAAAACAAGTGATCTGGGGTTTTATACCCGCTGGAAAGTTTGTACAAGGTCCTTTAAGGATTTCTTGTGTGGTGAGCTCATGCTGCCTTCTTACCATCCATTCCACCCTTTTGGTGGTGACTGTTACAGGACAGAGAAAAACTTCTATCTTGGGGCCTGTCCGTGGGGAGCTGTGTGTCTTCACCTTTCTCTCGAGACTGGTCTAGGACAACTCCAGCCACCTGGCCTTCTGTGTGACCACTAAGCAACAAGATTGTTCATGTCTCACTTATTATCACACTTGCTTTCTAGCTCAGGCCAGTTTCCCACCTAGATTGATAAGATGTTCGCCTTTACTGGAGGGGCCTGTTTGCTCTCTCCACCTTTTTGCCATTCCCACTGTGGCTCTTCTGACCCGTGTGTTGTTTAGTACCCAGAGGCCACGCTCCTGACCAGAAAACCCACTCTCGACCCTGAAGTGCCAGCTAGCTCCTTAGCTGTCTGCCTAAGTCTAACCTAACTTGGCTTGCTTTCTTTTATCTATAGTACCAGGATTTGTGGATGTTAGAAAGTAGACTAAGAAATGAGGACAAAGTTAATCATTACAAATTAGCTCAGTAATCTCAGTGGCCACAGACAGCCACCTCCACCTGCTCTCCCCTCAGAGAAGTTAATTGCAAAGACATTTCTTCCAAGGTTTTTGGTCATTCTATTCTTCCCCCTTTTCAGACGTTCTTATTGTTAACTGTCCTATTTCTGTAGATAGATCCCTGTCCTCATTCTTCTGGCTTTGACTATGGGAGACTTTGGTTCTTGACATGATTTTTACAGTAACCTTCTCTGTTGAGATTATATGTCATTAGCCTAATAACTCCCCCACCCATTCTGATTTACAAGGGTTTTATTAGCATCTCTGCAAACTTCCCATGATGTTACTTGACCACTTTATGTTCAAACGCTTGCCCCAATTTTATTCTTGGGCAGGCACGAAGAAAAAGGCTGATTGTACAAGCAATGAGGGCAAACCAGACTGTGAGCCCTGCCAGGAAGGGGAGGAGTACACAGACAAGAGTCATTTTTCTTCTAAGTGCAGAAGATGCAGTCTTTGTGATGGAGAACATGGTGAGTGTCCTAAAAAAGCAATGGAAAGAGACCAATCCTGGTAGTTTATGTGGAACCTTTTATAACACAATTTGAAATTGTGGTGCTCTGTTGGCATAAAAAAGGGGCAGAACAGGGTTGGCTGGGACAAAGAAGGACTGGATACTGAGCTCATCACTGATCTGGCCATTTACGAGACAAGTCTGGGCAATTCTATCAGATGTACACAAATGACTAAGTATGAGCCCTGTTCACAGGGTTCATCAGTTGCAATGAAAACCACAGAAACTGTTATTTTCCTGTTTGATGTATGCTTGTGCCATGGTTCATGGCTATGGCCAGAAGAGCTCAGAAGCCTACAGCTACAAGGAAAGAAACCCATGAGGTGGGTGGGATGCTCCCTCTTTGGGGTTTGCTTTGTTCTAGTAATTCCATTTGTGACTTGACTTTTCATGGAAGTCTCAATCTATTCTGAGGTTCCAGATTAAAATATCACAGAAGTATTCCCAGTTTTGACATTAACAGGCCTCTGGATGTAAAGCTTTTTTTATTCCTATTCTTGTTCTAAAGCAATACTTTTCAACACTGGGGCTGCATTAGAATTGCCTGGGGGGTTGATAAACTGTCAGTTTGGGCTCCACCTCAGAACATATAAATGGAATGTCTAGATAATGGCTTGGCATGGGTCTGATTGAGTCAGTCTAGGGTAGAGCCTGGCTACTCTGCATCTCCAACAAGCCCTCAGGTGATGCTGATGTTGCAAGGCCAGATTCTGAGCAGCAAAGCTCTAGGCTAGAGGAACAGAGGAGCCATGTGTAAGAAATGGTGGAGGTGGCCTTGCTTGCTGGATTATCTCTCCACTTAAACTCTGTTAAATGACTGCTGGCCATTTCAACCAGAGGTCATCTGTTTAGAGTTTACATACTGGGTGTACAGGCAGGCATTTGGCAGAGCAGTTAAGACACCTGTTAGGATGCTTGCATCCCATATTGAAGTGCCTGGGTTTCACTTCTGGCTCCACTCCTGATTCCAGCTTCCTGCTAATGCAGATCCTGGGAGGAAGCAAGTGATGGCTCAAGTAAGTTGGGTTCCTGTCACCCACAAGGGAGAACTGGAATGAGTCCTCAGCTCCTGGCTTCGACCTGGCCAAATCCCAGCTGTTGCTGGCATATGTGAAGTGAACTAGTGGATAGGAGACAGGATAGCTCTCTCTCTTTTCCTGTCAAATAGATAAAATAAACATTTAGACACTAGTTGTATTACTAAAGGGTTATTAAATGACTGTTGAAATGAGCAATGGATCTCAGAAATTCATACAGCTGTTGGTCATTATTTTCATAGTCTTTATAACTAGCTAATGATGATGATGATAAGCTATAAGTAATATTTTGAAAACTGTTTTTCTAGGCTTAGAAGTGGAAACAGACTGTACTACGATCCAGAATACCAAGTGCAGATGCAAATCAAACTTTTTCTGTAATGCTCTTAAATGTGAACACTGTGATCCTTGTACCATGTAAGTTTTTGTCTTTTGTGATTAAAATACTAGATATACCTTCAGAGATGCTGTCTTCCTAGAGGGGAATCAACACTGACAGTCAAGAATCAGGACTGATTTCCCACCCAAGCAGCTAGGTGACCATTTGCTCATTCACACATTATCAGATGGTAAACATTTTTATTGAACACTTCTTGTTCATTGAACATGTCCTATGTACTTGACACTGTGCTGGCTGCTTAAGCTAAGGATGTGAACAAGACATGTGCCTGGCATTAAGGTCCCACTACAGAGGCAAAGACAGTCAAGAAAAGCAATGGATATTGTGTGTCAATACCATGTGGCAAATGTCACAAGATACTTCTGCCCAGAACATTACAAGTTATACAGGAAAACCTTCCAAGTCTCCTTGAGAAAATGAGCACATGGTTTGAGTCTTGAAGGAAGGAAAGTGAAATAACAGGTGCATGAGTAGGGAAAGCTCATGATAGAGTAACAGCAGCTACACAAAGACAGAGAAAGCTCTGGTGACCAGGATACTGGGCTAGAGGGTTGGAAAAGTTGAGAGCAAGCCAGGGCCAAATGAGGCAGGAATTCGTCCTTCACACTACAGAGGTTGGCTTTGACCCCAAATTAGAACGCCTGACTGTGCACCTCACTTTTCCACTGATTACCTGCTTTAGTTTGAACAGATCACTTAAACTCCCTAAGCTTCAGTTTTCTTCCTCATAGGATACAAAAAAAACACCTGACTTGTTTTATTTGCCTCATTTCTGTGAGGATTAGATTGGGTTACATGTATTGCAAAAAGTAGCCTTTTGCTTTGTAAGGAGTTTTTGTACAAATGTAAACATTTTGAATTACTGTTCCTTTGCCTCTCCTAAAAGTTGTAATTTATCTTGGAAAATTTTGAGAAATTCATATAAGAAGCTTAAGAAGTAGCAAAATGAAACTTTACATCATGTTGGCTAGAGAAATTATTTATGTATAGCTGTCTTGTCACTTCCCTTCTAACCCGAGATGATGACAGAGTCCTGGATAGGGACTGGAGGGTAAGGGATAAGTCAAATAATAATGAGTTATTCTAAATAATTCATAATATTGTTTAATTTTCTTCTCAACAAAGCCCTCTGAGGTAGATGGTACTGTTATCTCCATGTTACTGATGAGCTAATAGACTTATGGCAGTTAACTGACCTCCCAAACTCACCTTGTTAGGTACTGGACAGGGGCAAGCCATGAACTCAGGTAACTCAACGATTGACTGTCAGTGTTTGGATGTCTAAGTAACATCCCACATAAGCCTCTTGAGCCTCTTAATTACCACCTGAATCTACAAGCAGCAATCTCTAAGGGCTGGCTGAGTAGCCTCTCTAGGTACCATCAAGGGCAGTGGCTATTATCTGGCTGTCTTACTGTTGTATGGGCCCTTTTTGAAATTGCTGTAGTATGTTTAAAACTCAGGTTATTATCAGAATAAGTTTATTTTTGTGTCCTTTTCATCCTCTGTCTTGTCACTATTTTATTACCTCCCTTTAACTCTTGATACCATCGGATCAGCGCAGTGCGCCGGCCGCAGCGCGCTGGCCGCAGCAGCCATTGGAGGGTGAACCAATGGCAAAGGAAGACCTTTCTCTCTGTCTCTCTCTCTCACTGTCCACTCTGCCTGTCAAAAAAAGAAAAAAACATAGTCTATTCCTGAAGATAGTTTTTATCTAATCATCCAAATTATGTTCTTAACTTGCACCAGCTTTAGATGCTAATCTATGAATATTTGACGGATTATGTTTGTCAGAGATGCAATGTTGAACAAAATGGTCTTTAATTTATAATGCGCCACTGAAAATAACTGAGGAATTAATCCACTAGGCTCTTTGAATTTCCTCTGTATTTTTCCTAGGTGTGAACATGGAATCATTGAGGAATGCACACAAACCAGCAACACCAAATGCAAAGAAAAAGGTAATTATTACTTGTTGTGGTTTTTTTTTCTCCTTCCTCCAATCCTGGTAATAAACTGAGATTTTAAAATACTTGGGCTCAAGCTGACTTGCCCCAAATGGTAGAGTTAGAAACATACCAGGGAATTCCAATTCAATCCCATCAAGGTGGCATGTACCAATGCCATCTCACTACTCCAAGTGATCAATTTCAGTTCATAATTGATCATAATGAAAGGACTAAGAGTCAAAGGGAGCACATAAACAAGTCTAGTACCTGCTAACACTAACCGACAGAATAAATAAAGGGGAGAGTGATCCAACATGGGAAGTGAGATACTCAGCAGACTCATAGAATGGCAGATGTCCTAAATAGCACTCTGGCCTCAGAATCAGCCCTAAAGGCATTCGGATCTGCCTGAAAAGCCCATGAGAGTATTTCAGGCATGGAAAGCCAAGACACTCTGGCAAAAGATCTCTGTGAGTGAGATCCCAGTGGAAAGAACAGGTCTTCAAAGAAGGAGGTACCTTTCTCTGAAGGGAGGAGAGAACCTCCACTTTGACTATGACCTTGTCTAAACAAGATAAGAATCGGAGAACTCAGAGGGCTTCCATAGCCTTGGAAACTCATGACTGGAGCATAGGGAGATTACTGATGCCATAGACAGGATTGTCAATTGGTAAAGTCAACAACAGGAGTCACTGTGCACTTACTCCTCATGTAGGATCTCTGTCCTTAATGTGCTGTGCATTGAGATTTAATGCTATAACGAGTACTCAAACAGTATATTTCACTTTGTGTTTCTATGGGGGTGCAAACTGACTGAAATCTTTACTTAATGTATACTTAATGCATACTAAACTGATCCTCTGTAAAAAAAAAAAAATAAAAAGAGAAGAAATTTTCAATTCCCAACTTGACTCTCACTGGGATTAAACATGACAATAGGTCTGATCTGATTTCATCATCATTTAAAAAAATCATCTATTATTTCTCACTTTATGTTTCTGTGTGGGAGCAAACTGTTGAAATCCTTACTTAATGTATACTAAGCTGATCTTCTGTATATTAAGATAATCGAAAATGAATCTTGATGTGAATGGAAGGGGAGAGGGATTGGGAAAGGGGAGGGTTGTGGGTGGGAGGGACGGTATGTGGGGGAAGCCATTGTAATCCATAAATCGTACTTTGGAAATTTATATTCATTAAATAAAAGTTAAAAAAAATACTTGGGCTTATAAGAAACTAGCCAAAAGCAATTTGGCAAGTGCCAAAAGCAATTTCAAAACAGTCCCATAGAACAATAAAATGGCCAGACAATAGCTACTGCCCATGGCAAAATATGAAGAAAAAATAATTGTTTTTGATTATTTGAGAGTACTTTGTTCAATGATTTATTAAAGATTTCTTATTTTCATGTACAATGTCCAATGTTCTAATCTACAGGTTCGACTACAGGTTCGAAACATCATTTTCTTTGGTTGAGTACCCTGTTACTGATTCCAGTAGTTTTGGGTGAGTTCATATTTTATTCAAACCACAGATGAAATGACCTGGAAAGCAGATGCTCACAATTATTTCCCTCTCTCTCCTATCTAAAAGAAAGCTCTCAGCTAGGCAGCTTTGTCTGTTACATTGCTAATTTCCTTCTACTGCATGCAACCCTGAGAGTTGATAAGAACAGAAAATACGGCCCAGCTACTGTTTCTAAGCAGTGGTTTGGGAGCAGTGAGTGGTATTGCCAACCTCCCTTTACACAAGGGTTGTCTGCAGTAGCAGAGTTGGCCAGAAATCACAAGTAATCATTCCTTGTTCAAAGAAATGACCCCACGCATAAAGAGACCCAAGGAGGAAGGGCCTTTTCCAGAAAAGCATTGCAGGGGATACTTGATAAACTTGTCCTTCTCTGTGCGTCCTCTCCCCTGACCTTACTGCATTAAAAAAAATTATTTTGTTTTCTTAACTGAGAATACTGCAATGACACATTTTATGCAAGAGCTATGAAGTCAGCTGATAAGCCAAAATTGAATATAACTCTAATTAGTCTAGATAAATCCCCTTATATCATTCATAAAATTCAAAGTTGCACCAATTTTCGGTAACTTATAAGTATCCAACTTTCCTCTTGTTTCTTCAGTTTAGTTGACAGTAAGAGGTTACCAAGCTTTTAGAGATTGTTTAGCTGAAAATATATACTTGATGTTTAAGCACATCTCCCATTGATTCCAGGGCATACACTCATTGACGCTGCATACCTGAGTTATTTTGGAATGTGTATACTGGAATTTCTGAATATTAGATGTTGCCATATGGCAAACTGTTTTCTACTTTCCATGCCCTTAGTTATTATGCCCAACTGTGGCCATGCCTCTGTGCTGAAAAGTGAATGGTAGTGGCCATACCAGGCTAGTGTGTGGTAATTGAACAATGTGGCCTATCTCCAGAATGCTGGACTCAGTGGAGTGTAACATTTGTAAAATTAACACAGTGCTGCCTCCTGTGGTATCTAACTGCATCAACATTCAATGACTTTGTTATTTCTTCTTACACTTCTCAAATGCGAAAGTGTTTCCCACAAACCTGAGACCTGCCTCTAACAGAGATTTCCTTGATCTTTCAGGGCTGAGAAGATACAAAAAGCACAGAGATGGAAAGCATGGCTATGACAAATCTACAGCCTTAATTCCTGTAGGTGTTGACAGATGCATCAGCTTTAAAACAAATAGAGAAAATAGTAGAAATCATTTTACCTGTTTCCTTTTAAAATTTCTTTATTTTTTTGAAAGGCAAAGAAACAGAGAGAGACAGAGAGAGAGAGACTGCTCATATCCACTGGATTTGTAACCCAAATGCCAGCAACAGCCAGGGCTGGGCCAGGCCAAAACTAGGAGCCAGAAACTCAATCCAGGTTTTCTACATGTATGGCAGGAAGCAGCTGAACCATCACCGACTTCCTCCTAGGCTGTGCATTAGCAGGAAGATGCAATCATGAGTAGAGCTAGAACTCAAAGCCGGGCACTCCAATTCGGGATGCTGGTGTCCAAGAGTGGCATCTTAACTATTAGGTCAAATGCCCACCCCTGTTACTTTGTTTAAAGCAAATACTTGTGTTTGTGAGTGCCTGAGTTAGAGGAGCATTAAAAACAGATCAGAGGGTGGGGGAGGGAGAGCACTGTGGTATAGTAGGTAAAGCTGCTGACATGCAATGTCAGCATCCCAAATGGGTGCCAGTTTGTGTCCTGGCTGTTCCACTTCCAATCTAACTCTCTGCTAATGGCCTGGGAAAAGCAGCAGAAGATGGCTCAAGTACTTGGGCCCCTGCCACCCACAGGAGAGACATGGAAGAAGCTCCTGGCTTTGGCCTGGTCCAGTCCTGGTGGTTGCAGGATTCTGGAGTGAACCAGCAGATGCAAGATTCTCTCTCTCTCTCTCTGTAAGTCTTTCAAATAACTAAATAGATCTTTAAAATTCATGAATCATCATATGCTGCCTACTTTATATGTAACCTGCTACACAAATATAGGAATCAACAAAGGGGGAGGTGAGTGCATGGAATGCATGTGGAGTAAAGGATGTGACCAAGCTCCATGTTCCACTTTGGTGTTATTCTTGCAGAGAGATGTCCTTTCCCTGATCACAGACTGAGTATTCAATTCCAGGGAAAAGAGATAGCTGTTCAAATCCAGTAAAATGGCACAACTCAATTCTCTCCACCCGCCTGTTGTTTTTATCTCTCATTGTATCTTTTTCCAGCACAACATCAAGACATTTCAAATAACAAAATATACACTGGAGAGAGAGACCAGTTCCATTTAATTGCATAATGATTTTCTCATTTGGGAGCAGGACTCAGTGGGAATCAGAATTCTTTAAAACCATATAAGACAATTTTTTTTGATTTGTGCTATTTTCTAGTGTCAAGAGAACAGTTACTCTGATGAAAATTTTAGAATGATACTTTTATTGTTTATTTTAATGAATCTATATGAAAAAGGGTCTTAGCTCATTCTTTGAGTACAATAGCTTCTGTAGTAGTCAGCTTTTTGTTCCTACAATGAAATACCTGTGGCAATTAACTTTACAAAGAACAGAAATTAACTTTTGCTCTTGGTTGTGGAAGTTCGAAGTCCAAGAATGGATAAGCTCCATGAATCAGACTGGCAAGGACATTTTTTGCTGGCCGTGCTGAGGTGGCACAGGGCACACATGGCAAGAGTTCCCTGTGTGTGTCTGTGTCCATGTCTATATCTGTGTGGTCTCTTACAAATCTACCAGGATTTATTAATAAGGGGCTATACCCTAAGGACCTAATCCAACCCAATCATTTCCCAAAAGCCACACCTCCAAATGTCATAACTGCATTAAGTTTCTGCCAACTTAGTACCAAAAACTGATGAATTTTGGGTTTAAATGTCTGCATGAGTTCAGGAGTCACATCTTGTTCAAACCATAGTGGGTTTCTTGCCTGGCTAAAAAAATAAGCCAATATTACTTAGAACCTTCCAGAATCCAAATTTGAATGGGGGAAAGAAGCCTTCTCAATGACTTTGTCTAGTTTACTAATTGTATGCATCAAAGCAGCTAATTATATTTCCCTCAGAATTAAGGAAGAATTAGCAGCTTACATTTAGAATATTCTAAATTCTATTCTCTCTCCTTGCCTCCATCTTTTTTTTTTATCTCCAGGAAGGAGTGCCAATGAATTTCTCAGGTAAGCTTTTATTATTTTAATTCTTAGAAGTGGTTTCCTTTGTAGTAATAGACCAATTTTAGAGTAAAATAATATTGCTAATTTCAGTGGCACGTTCTGTGATCTTGGTTTTCCTTGAACTTATAATTCTTCCTGGGCTTATCAGGTAGTTTGTTTAGATTTATAGCTAGTAGTAATAATTAAAAAATAAATCAGGTAGTAATAAGATGCTGTATTGTAAGGCTTAAGAAAATTTTCTGGCTGGTGCCGTGGCTTACTAGGCTAATCCTCCACCTGCGGCGTCGGCACTCCGGGTTCTAGTCCCGGTTGCTCCTCTTCTAGTCCAGCTCTCTGCTGTGGCCTGGGAGTGCAGTGGAGGATGGCCCAGATCCTTGGGTCCTGCGCCCGCGTGGGAGACTGGGAGGGGCACCTGGCTCCCAGCTTCGGATTGGTGTGGTGCACTGGCTGCGTTGGCCATGGGGGGTGAACCAACGGAAAAGGTGAAGACCCTTCTCTCTGTCTCTCTCTCTCACTGTCCACTCTGCCTGTCAAAAAAAAAAAAAAAAAAGGGTCCTTTTCCCACTTTCTTCATTCGTAGATGAGAAGGGAAGATACAGAGGTATTATGTATCCTATCAAGGTTATATAACAAATTAGTGTATGTTTCAGGAGTTGAAATTGAAACTCAAGGATATTTTTTGTTTTTGTTTTGCCCTAATCTTCTATTTAGATCTTTTTTAAAAAAATTATTATTTATTTGAAAGAGTTACAACTAGAGAGAAGGAGAGGCAGAGAGAGAGAGATCTTCCATCGGCTGGTTCACTCCCCAATTGCTGCAATGGCTGAAGCTGTGCCTATTGGAATCCAGGAGCCAGGAGCTTCCTCTAGGTCTCCCATGAGGGTGTAGAAGCCCAGGGATTTGGGCCATCTTCACTGCTTTCCCATGCCATAGTAGAGAGCTGGATCGGAAGTGGAGCGGCGGAGGCTCAAACAAGTGCCCATATAGGATGCTGGCTTTACCTGCTACGCCACAGCTCTGGCCCCCATCTATTTAGATCTTTAGGAGTTGACTGTATTCCTATACTCTTAAGTACTATATGAAGAGAAATAGACATTGTTTTCTATAATAGGAATTTCATTTAGAAAAAATTTTCAGAAAATGTTTTCTGTTTTTCAGATGTTGATATTAGTAAGTATATCCCTACTATTGCTGAAGAAATGAAAATAAATGAAGTTAAAGAATTTGTTCGGAAGAATGGTGTTAATGAAGCCAAAATTGATGAGATAAAGAATGACAATATCCAAGACACAGCTGAACAGAAAGTCCAGCTGCTGCGTAATTGGCATCAGCTTCATGGGAAGAAAGATGCATATAACACTTTGATCAAAGGTCTTAGAAAAGCTAATCTTTGTGCTCTTGCGGAGAAAATTCAAGATATAGTCCAGAAGGACATTACTAGTGACCATGACAATTTAGATATCAGAGATGAAAAGGAAAGACAAAGCTTGGCCTAGAGTGAAAAACAACTAATTCATTTCTGTGTATGTAGTCAATGGAAAGAAAAAAAAAAGTGTGGAAAAGTTCTAAATACCTGAAGGTTGTAAATATTGCTTAACTTTTCACTGGATGTATTTTTTTCATTTATTAGATTTCTAGAACTAACATATGTATAGGTTTTGAAGATACCATAATTCTTCCTTCAAGAATGTTTGAAATCTGTTGAGAATACAGATATAGTCAAGAGTAAGTGTAATGGCACATTAAGTATCTAAATAGAAGTGTTTGTAAAGGAAAAAATGATTAGTGCCATGCTTTAGTATCTAACCCAGGATTCTGTAGGTATGAGTGTACACAGTGAATGTCAGCACTAATGTTTATCTACAGGCTGTTCTCATTGTATGAGTCAATAGAAACTATGACCTTTTGTTGCAGTGTCTCAGTTACTGAAAAGACCTTTGCCTCTAAATTACCTCTCCAGCTTCACGCAGTATTCTAGAGATTTTATCATACTTATAAACTCTGTTTACACTTCTGAAAAGAGTAAATTCAGGCAGTTTGCATATGTATTTGAATGCATTTAATAAGATACTACCTCAAAGATCTTTGCACGGGTTGTTGGTATTTTACTTTACAATACTTCCACTTTGAATTTACATGGAAAATAGATTCAATTGTAATACTTGAATATTTTATATGTGTATGACATTTTACTGGATTAAAATCATCTGGTTTTAGGAACTGCTCTTGTCATTCCCTGAAGATTCTCAGAATAAGCCCCTCTCCCTACCACTACTTTGTTACTTTTATATTTAAAGATCTCTGAAAACTCATATGAAATGTGAATTTTGATAAATATTATTTATACTTGTATACATGTATGATGAACTGAAGATAGTTATAAACTGAAGCAACTATCAGACCAGCCTAAAGAACATCCATGAATGGAGAATTTTTTCCCTTGTGTTTGGAAATCTAAAATATAGGTAAAAATATTTAATTAAAATAATGCTTTTGGAATTTCTGGTTATCTCTTCATTGATGGGGGCTTGCATTTTGTTTTTCATTTCTTTTTTTTAAAATATTTATTTATGTATTTGAAAGAGTTACACACAGAGAGAAGGAGAGGCAGAGAGAGAGAGAGATAGAGAGAGAGAGAGGTCTTCCATCCGCTGGTTCACTCTCCAATTGGCTGCAATGGCCGGAACTGTGCCGATCCAAAGCCAGGAGCCAGGAGCTTCTTCCAGGTCTCCCATGTAGGTGCAAGGGCCCAAGAATTTGGGCCATCTTTCACTGCTATCCCAGGCCATAGCAGAGAGCTGGATTGGAAGTGGAGCAGCCAGTACTTGAACTGGCGCCCATATGGGATGCCGGCACTGAAGGTGGCAGCTTTACCCGCTATGCCACAGCACCAGCCCCTGTTTTTCATTTCCTTTTCATTAGCCATTACTAAACATAACCTGTTTATCATCTTTAATGCATTCTTTGATCTCTCAGGAAGTACTTTCTTTCAAAAGCCCTTTTAGTAGTTTGATAATTCTTTCAATAGGTTTTTACTGCCACAAATAACTCTTGCAAAAAGCATATGGTTGTTAGATAGGATTATTTCCAATAATTCCAATAATTCCAAAGGATGGAATCTGGATAAGTACAAAGTTTAAGGAGTAGGCTTTATTATTTATTAGTAAGAAAGCTAAATGGGCTCTGAAATATTCTTTTCTGTATATTTTCCATTTTAGCTACTTGGTAACCATTGGACAACCTCTATTTATTGAAATGTACTTTTAATTTATTATTTCCAAAGTAGTGACATGTCAGCATGTCCTCAATATAAAATATAGACAGTTTACATTCTTGATTTTTCATACTAAATCTTCAAAATCTAGTTTTCATTTCATTTATACTTACAAGCACATCTCAGCTTGGCCCAGCAACATTTCACAAATCTAATAGGTACGTGTTGCTGCTGGCTACCATATTAGGCACTTCTGGTCTATATCACTGTTAGGGCAGATCTAGAACAATCGTAACTCCAGGGCTAGCTTTGCATCACTGCTAATGTCTGGCACTTCCTGGGTCTGTTCAATGAGGTCTCTTCACTCTTCATGGCAGAAACTTCTTCTTCCACCCCTACATTAGCTTTGAGAATTGTTCTGCTTATATAGCTCAGCTGTTCTTTCTCCCACAGTTAGTTGTTTTATGCCTGGCTCTTGGTGTTTTCTGCATAGGTGCACAGTATTCAGCCAAAGACTTCACAGTACCTCTGTATGGAACTATTCTGATGTGTAACTTCCTTCTTCCTTCTAGCATACTATTTTGTGAAGTCCAGCAGCCTCAGCCTCCTGAACTCTGACCCCTGGTCTTCAATTTAGCAAGGTGACTTTGATTTACGTAGGGTCCCCTCTTGTTCGATGGTCTAAAAAGTGTCTTTAGGCAGAAAGGCTGGGTCATTTCAGGGCTCACCTCATTAGTTTCCCTTCTCTGGAGGATCAGTCTGTGCTTCCTCCTGTCCAGTTTTCTAGTCGGAGGCAGCAGGACAGCAAGTCTGATACAGGTTATTCTTTGCCACCAGAAGTGGAAGTCATACTTTGCAAGGCAAAATTGAAGTAGAGAACATCCTGTGCTCACTCATGAATTCCAGCCAAGAACACTGGGTTCCTTTGGAGGGGGAAGAAAGTTGAGAATGTCTTTGATCTTGGTGGTGTGGTTCCATTATGGCTGCACCCAGTCCCTCCACGTGCCACTGCTTCCGTGTCAATAATCGCAATTATCTTCCCAAGGTGAGGTGGCTCTGGTTCAAAATCATGTTCATTCTGGTGAACCTGGCCTTTGCTGTGGTGTTCATCTTGGGTAGGAGTATCACCTGGATGCCACTTGTGAGCTGCAAAAAAACCCCAAAAAAACCCAAAAACACAAAACAAACAAACACTGTTTGCAGAAGGAGGTCATGGGTCACGAGGTGGGCACTGCATGCTCCTCACTGCCAGGCCAATCTTACATCACTTTGTCGTATTCCATCACCAGTCTCTGTGCAACTCTGAGGAGAAGGCATATCATCAATGCACATTTTCTAGCATCACTCCTGGATGGCTGTTTGGGTTTAGAAATCTGTATCACAGCATTTGTAATTTTCCCTCAGTACTTTAAAAATATCAACCTGCTGCTTTCTTATTTTTGTTGCTGCTCACGAAGCTTCCACTGTTGGTCTAAGGATCATTCCTTTATAGACCATCTTCATATTCCCAGCAAAGATTATTAAAACATAAGGATTATTTTTAAATCTTCCCTTACCACTTTTCCTGGTGTTTTGCAGTTTCATTACAGTGAGCTTTAATACGGAGCCTAGTTTTTTATGAGCTTTGTTTTTCCCCATCTATAAAAATGAGAAAATTGGGGCAGATTGTGGGACAGTGGGTTAAGCAGCCACTTGGGACATCCATATTCCCATATCAGAGTGCCCGTGATTGGTCCCACATCCACTTCTGATCCACCTTCCAGATAATGTGCCTGAGAAGCAACAGATGATGACCCAAGCACTTGGGTTCCTGCCATCCACATGAGGGACAAGGTTGGAGCTCCTGGCTCCTAGATTCAGTCTGGCCCAGACCTCACTGTTGGAGGCATTTGGGGGAATGAACCAGAAGATGAAAATCTCTCTCCCTCTCCCTCTTTTTATCATTATGCCTTTGAAATAAAATAAATGAATAAATCTTTTTTAAAAACTGAGAAAACTATTTTAACACTTTAGATTTTTATGAAGATTAAATAAAATATAGATGAATTATATACCACAGTGCTTGGGCTTGTACATTGATAATATCCAAAAACTTCTACCCAAATGCTTAAGCAAAATGTAAATTTGTTGGTGCATCTTACTGAAGTTCAGAAACAGGGTGGGTTTGACTAATCCAACCCAAGACCTCCAGTCATGATTCCTGATTCTCTTGGCTCTCCCCTCTTCACCTACTTCTTGTAAATCTCTTCACGTAACTAGTATTCCAACTCATAGTGACAAGGTTCCCACAACTGTTCTGGAGCTATTCCTGGCACATCATTCAGAAGATGTAATACTTAAGTCCTAGCTCTCCAAGTTGGAGTACTGAGAGCCATTGGACAGATTACAGAAAAATTGAATCAATGACCAGGGGAATAGAACTTGCTGATTAACCTAATCCATACTCCCATTCTTAGAGTCTTATAAGATGTGTATGTGGTAGGGCAAAGACTTGATAAGGTGGTGAAAGGAGGTTCTGGGTAGGAATGCAAGGATAGTTTTTAGGTACCCAACTCAATTTAGCTTAAGAAATATAAAAACATTATTTTGGGGCTGGTACTGTGGCATATTGGGTAAAGCTGTTGCCTACTGCGCCAGCATCCCATTTGGGCACCAGTTTGAAACCCAGCTACTCTACTTCTGATCCAGCTCCCTGATAAAGCACCTGGAAAAGCAGAAGAAGATGCTTAGGGCCCCTGTACCCATGTGGAGACCCAGAGGAAGCTCCCGGCTTCTGGCTTTGGTCTGGCCCCGCTCTGGCTGTTTCAGCCATCTGGGGCATGAACCAGCAGATGGAAGATTATTCTCTCTCTCTCTTCCTCTCTCTGTGACTCTTCCTTTCAAATAAAACATAAATTAATTTTAAAATGCATTATCTCCTAATATGCAGTACAAAGGCATGGTTCACTAGTATGCCAAAGCCTTCTTGTACTAACAAGAACCAATTGTTAAATGCGTAGGAATTTTGAAAGCCAGTTTTTAAATAATCGGTAGCTTGATATTGCCATGATGGGAATATTTACACCCTTCTTCACTCCTGAACTCCCAGAAAGCTCGTTCCTGTCATACCACTGGGCAGATGTCAGGAATGGTTGATTCAGTGGGTCAAGGATATCATTTGCAATAAGAGATCCTTTTGTAGCTCTTTAATCTATCGCTACTGCATTGGCTTTACACTAGGGTCAGTTTCTTCCATGGTCATAGAATTGCTTTTTTTTTTTTTTAAAGATTATTTATTTGAGAGGTAGAGTTACAGACAGTGAGAGGGAGAGACAGAGACAAAAGGTCTTCCTTCTGTTGGTTCACTCCTCAAATGGCTGCAACAGCCGGAGTATGCTGATCCAAAGCCAGGAGCCAGGTGCTTTCTCCTGTCTCCTATGCGGCTGCAGGAGCTCAAGAACTTGGGCCATTTTCTACTGCTTTCCCAGGCCACAGCAGAGAGCTGGATTGGAAGAGGAACAGCCAGGACTAGAACTGGTGTCCATATGGGATGCCTGCACTGCAACTGGACAACTGGTCCCAATTCTACTGACACCTCTCTGAAAGACTGTAGGATATACCTCAATAGTGTGCCAACAAGGCACAGGGAAGCTGAGCCTTGATACTGACTCTCATCTCTCACTGGTTGAGGGACCTTGCACTGCAGGTGGAGGATTAACCTACTGCGCCACGGCACCAGCCCCCATAGAATTGCTTTATTAGCAAATCAGAAATGGTGTTCCTTATTCATTTCCAACAGCAGAGAAAAATAACTTCGCTCCAATGTGGATCATCATTTGGCCCTTTAGTATGAATGAGCCAGCTCCAGGCATTTTTACCCATGCAGTCTTCCCCATGCTGACTGGCTTAGGCAACTCAGGCTCCATCTCTGGAGCTGAGGAAGGGACCCATTTCTTCTGTATTTTGTGCATTATGGGAAAAGGTAAATCAAAATTAAAAATCTTGGGCCAACATTGTCACACAGCAGGTTAAGCCTCTGCTAGCATGCCACCATCCCATATTGGTGCATATTAAACCCTGGCTGCTCTTGCTTTCCAGCTCCCTGCTTGGACCCCTACCACCCATGTGGGAGATGTGGATGGAGTTATAGGCTACTTTTCTGTTTGGCCTATCCCCAGTTGTTGCAGCATTTTGGGGAGTAAACCAGCAGATAAAAGATCTCTCTCTCTGTCACCACTCCTTCTGTTGCTCTACTTTTCAAATAAATAAAATAAATCTTGAAAAAAAAATTAAAATTCTGTTAATA